CTACCTGCAGGGCGCACGGGGGTGGGGGGCAGAGGAGGAACGCACCACTTGGCGGAGTGCAGCGAGTGCTGCTTGGCGGTTTTGTTGCTGATCCAGACGCTGCAGAGCTGCCGCTCCACGTGCTTGCAGTAGAACATGTGCCTGAAGAGCATCTGGTAGCGAGTGAGGGCTTTCCTGAAAGAGAGAGGCGGCACCTCAGGCGTGGGTCTCCGTGGCCATCGGCGTCGTGGACGTGGCGCCCATGCCCCACAATCTACAGGGTGGCCCATGGGCAGCCTGTGAATCCCGCAGGCACTGAAGGCTGGGGAGAGCCGCCTTGGGTCCTCCGTGCAACAACGTGGCCACTGCATGGCACGGTTCTCGCGTCTGCTGAACCTGAATGAAGGGCTGGCGTCGCCCAGGTGGCCGGCCCGCACCTGTTGATGATGAGTGAAAGGGGCCATTTGACGATGTAGTCGAAAGAGAAGGCCTCCAGGCCGCTCAGCGTCAGCTCAGTGGGGTCGGCCTGGGCCATCGCCTTCTCCTGTTTCGTCTCGATGGCCAGAACGCGCAGGAGCTGAGTGATGAGGTCATGAGGCATCAGGTCGATCTTGGGGAAGGGAAATGAGACAAAGCATGTTTTAGAGAAAACGCCACAAGTGCGGCCCCAGCCCCCACTGGTCCACGCTCACAGACCCAGCGCTGCGCCAGGTTCTCTAAATCCCGATTCTGTGTGGGTGACCCCCCGTATATGCACCGACGAATGAGAGCGAGGCAGAACTCTGGCACAGCTGGGGCTTGAGGAATACTCACATTACAGTGTTACTACTCAGCTATTTCCTGTTACGTAATCCTTCACATATTAGTTTATAGAATTAGGACTTGAAACCTCCCTTTATATAATTTTCTCTATATAATCATACAATAGTTGATACTATGAGTGCCTACAGAATATTTTCCTACATATATATAATTATATCTTAGTTCATAATCGGATGAATGCCTAGAGCAAACACAGTGCAGAGCATGATTTAAGGGAAAACAGTTATACCAGGACAAGAATCCACGGCCCAGGTGGCAGCGTTCAGTATCATAAAGATACCCGCTGTATGGCAGGCTTGGGGTGAGAGCCACTCCTCCTGATAAACGAGTTGTAGGACCTTGCTCCAGTTCTTGTGGGAGGCTGCCCTCAGAACGACAATCCACCTTGGTGACTGTGAACTTTATCAGCTTTTGCTACTGTGCTGCTTGAAAAACATCTTCCTATAGAACCCACTGGAAGCTGCCAGAAGGTGGCGGTAACCCTGACAGCTCTGTCACTGCTGTGTGACTTAAAGCATCCCCCATAAATCTTCTTTTTTTTTTTTTTTTTTTTGAGATGGAGTTTCGCTCTCGTTACCCAGGCTGGAGTGCAATGGCGCGATCTCGGCTCACTGCAACCTCCACCTCCTGGGTTCAGGCAATTCTCCTGCCTCAGCCTCCCGAGTAACTGGGATTACAGGCACGCGCCATCATGCCCAGCTGATTTTTTGTATTTTTAGTAGAGACGGGGTTTCACCATGTTGACCAGGATGGTCTCGATCTCTTGACCTCGTGAACCACCCGCCTCGGCCATAAATCTTCTTAGATGTAGTTTGCCCACAGATAGAAGTATTGCACACTGCACCCTCTTCACTGAGCACAGCCCACCTTCAAGCCTCGGTGACCTAATGGGAGTGGACCCCTTACTGCACACAGCTCCTGCCTTCATGGGAATGGGCCCTTGCTATGCACTGTCCACCTCCTGGCCTAGGTGACCTAATGGGGGTGGACCCCATGTTTTATTGCTCATGACCCTATCACTTTCCTTAAAGATGATTTCACTCACTGCCCTGCCCCCTAATCTATACACAATAAATACTCAAGCTTCTGGACATTCGGGGCCTCGCCTGACTCCGCTTATAGGTGGCGTGGCCCCCCGAGCCCAGCTGTGTTTTCTTTGTACTTCTGTGTCCTGTGTCTATTTCTCGGATCCTGCACCTCAGCACAGCATAAGGCTCACCCCACGACCCTGTGGGGCCCTCGGCCCTACATTCTGAACATCAGAGGCTGGCTTTCAGAAAACCCAAACATCTACTGATAAATCCAATTCAAAACTGAACCACTTCCCATCAAAACAAAACAAGAAAAATTCAGATGAATTACTTTGTAAACAGGTACTGTTGCCAGACGATGTAAGGAAAATCCATTAGGGACGGTCAGAGGAACCTGAAGGCCTCGGATGCCATGACAAGCACAGGCCCAGGTCAAAAATGAAGCGTATTTGATGAAGGATATGACAGTTACTACGGGCAAATACCGTCCTCACATTATTACTCAAGTACTTCCAACTACCTGCGACAGCGTTCCCGTAAAACCAGCACACAGCGACAGGACAGCAAAGGAAGGGCAGAAGATAAAGGAAGACGGCGAGCAGCAGGCAGACGAAACGCTCCCCGCCACCAACACAGACATGAACCCTGATGCCATTTCTCCCGCTCATCAGAGCAGCCAAGAGCTTCTGCAGGTGTGTGCACAGCAGCCCAGCTGTGTGGCCCGGAGTCCTGAAACGTGCTCCAGTGAGGTCAGCCTCAGTGTGTGCTGACCCAACAATTTCACTACCAGGAATTTTTTCTACAAAAATATTCCTGCTCCTAACAATAGACCCCAAAATATCTGAAGCAAGAACAGGCAGAATTACAAGGAGAAATACAGTTCTGCAGTGACAGGAGACTTCAGGGCCCAACTTCTAACCGCCAGACAGAAGATGGGTGAGGACAGACAGGGCCTCAGCACCCCAGCCCCCACCTGCAGCCGAAGGTACATTCTCTTCCCATGCACACGTTAGACTCTCCAGGGTGAATGTGGGGCCGCTAAACAAATCAATACATTCACAAAACTCAAATCACACAAAGTCTGTTCTCTAACTATAAGGTGATGAAGTTAGATAGAAGTAACAGAGGGAAAACCAGAAAATTAACAAACACGGGGAAGTTAATCATAAACCATCGATGGTTCAAATGAGAAATCACGAAGGTTATCAGAAACACTTCCAGAGACATGGAAATGCAAATGCTGGGGGCATCGAAGGCCGAGCTGGGTGGGGTGTTTACAGCTATAAATTAACTTTGCTAATTAAGAAAGCAGAAAAAAGAAGAGCTCACTAAACCCCTAAACAGCACACAGGAGTCACGACGATGAGAGAAGACAGAAACCAGACAGGGAAATAGTCAACAAACCCAAGAGTTGGTTCTTTCAGATGAACGAAATCGACAAATTTCTAGCTACATCAGCTAAGAAAAGACGAAAGACTCAAATTACCAAAATCAGAAAAAGAAGGGCTATAACTACCCATCTCACAGAAATAAAAAGCAGACACTCAAACTCCATGAACTGTGCGCCGGAAGACTGGAGGGGACAGAGCAGACCCATGGTCAGCAAGGGACCCAGTCCATCTCAAAGCCTCCAACAGAGACAAGCCCAGGCCTGAGGGCTCCCAGACAAACCTGCCAAACATTCAAAGAATCAACACGCTCCTGGGGAGGCCCAGGTGGAAGGATCACTTGAGCCCACGGGTTCAACCAGCCTGGGCAACATAGTGAGACCCCCATCTCTATTAAAAATAAAAATAAAAAAACCAGAAAAAAATATATATATTGCCGGGCACAGTGGCTCACACCTGCAATCCCAGCATTTTGGGAGGCTGAGGTGAGTAGATCACCTGAGGTCAGGAGTTCAAGACCAGCCTGGCCAACATGGTAGAACTCCATCTCTACTAAAAATACAAAAAACTAGCTGGGCCTGGCGGTGGGCGCCTGTAATCCCAACTACTCGGGAGGCGGAGCCAGAGAATCACTTGAACCCAGGGGGCAGACGTTGCAGTGAGGGGAGATTGCGCCATTGCACTCTAGCCTAGGCAACAAGAATGAAGCTCTGTCTCAAAAACAAACAAACAAAAACAAAAAGCATTAACACCACTCCTGAAACCCTTTCAAAAAACAGGTGGAGGGGCACATCCAAACGCATTCCAGAAGGCAGCAAAGCCTGACACCCAGGCTGGACAAGAGCACGCAAGAAAACCCGAGACCCGCACCCCTCATGGGCACAGGCGCAAAGACCCCCAGAGACCCTGCCCAGAGAGATCCCAGCAAGAAAACCTGAGACCCGCCCCTCGTGGGCACAGGC